GAGGGAGGGAGGGAGAGAGGGAGGGAGGAAGGAAGGAAGGAAGGAAGGAAGGAAGGAAGGAAGGATGTTTTTCTCTTCTACTCTTAGAAAGTTGTGCTGGTTGTTGATATGGTGAAACAGGAAGCCAGAAGTTTCTTCTGCAGAGGAGCTGATTGTCCAATGGAGAGACCACCAACCATCTCTCCTCTTATCTGGCCAGTTCCATAACCATGATTAGACATTTACATGTGCGGTTCTTTTTTTTCCTTTAAGGGCCATACAGGAACATACATTTGGCACCTGAACATTAGAGAAGACCGTTGTCTGACATATGGGGAAAGTACCAAGATGATGACTGAAGCCAAATTGGAGGGGACAGATACAGGTATTTGTTTGTCCGGTACAGGTGAAGAAGCTGAAATTAATCCTGAGAATGAAGGCACCCCGTTTCTTTGGGCCCTCTTGGTCATCATCTAGTGCAGGGGTCTCCAAACCTGGCAACTTTAAGACTTGTGGACTTCAACTCCCAGAATTCCATGCTGGCTAGGGAATTCTGGGAGTTGAAGTCCAGCAGTCTCAAAGTTGCCAAGTTTGGAGACCCCTGGTCTAGTGAAAGGGCTTAAATCCCCAAATCCCCAGCCATCCCAGTCTCATCTCTGGAAAGGGATTCTTTCACCACCACCCCAAAACAGCTGGCAAGCTGACCGTCAACCGGCCCACATCGCTTTTCTCGGCCTGCTGTGGCCCAGCCCAAACGGTCACTCCGAAATCCCTCAGAGCATGGTGGCAGTTTTGCCTTTCGAAGACAAGGCTTGCTTCAGCCTCCTTTTCAGTTCTTGCATGTTGGGCGATTTGGGCCGGACGAGATGGAGGCCCCTCCGTTTCTCCCCGTTGCAATTCCCAATGATCCGACTCAGCTCCTGACACAGCTGCTGAAAGGCCTCGTGGACCCCTTCGCAGTTCTCCCGCGCCGAGACCTCCGAGTACGGGCAGCCCAGCTCGTTGGCCAGTTGGTGGCCTTCCTTTGTGGACACCTGCCTGGCTCGGAGCAGGTCGCCTTTGTTGGCCATCAGCAGCAAAGGGATGTTGGCGTTGGGGTGAATCTTCCGGATGTGCTGGTGCAACGGGCGGATGACGCGGTAGCTTTCATAGTCCGTGATGGAGTAGACGAAGACGAAGCCGTCAGCCCAATAAATGGACCGGTTTATCTGCTCCTGGCAACAGATGGTGTCGTTCTCATCCTGTCGTCGAAAACCAGGAGGGAAGAGTTAAGTTCCGCTTGGCAAAAGATCAAAACCAAACTCACACACTGAGCTAAGCCAGAGGTTGTTAAAGAAACCACTTGCTGAGTTAGTGCAGATAGTCCTCGACGTACAACAGTCCATTCCGTGACCGTTCAAAGTTACAACGGCCCTGGAAAAGGTGACTTCTGACCGTTTTTCACCCTTACGATCATTCCAGCATCCCTGGGATCACCCAATCAAAATTCAGATGCTTGGCAACTGGCTCCTCTTTATGATGGGATCCCAAGGATCATGTGGTCTCCTTTTGCGACCTTCTGACAAGTTAATGGGGAAGTCAGATTCACTTAACAGCCGGGTTACTACCTTATCAAATGCAGAAATTCACTTAACAACTGTGGCAAGAAATATCGCAAAATGGGGCAAAACTCCCTTTATCAATGTCTCACTTAACCAGAGGAAATTTGGGCTCAATTGTGTAATCCGCAAACCATGGTTGACAACCACAACTCACAAAACAAACTTAAGCCAGAGGAAACAAATCACAGCGTAGAGCAGGGGTCTTCAAACTTGGCCCTTTGATGACTTGTGGACTTCAACTCCCAGAATTCCTGAGCCAGACACCGCTGGCTGAGGAATTCTGGGAGTTGAAGTCCACAAGTCATAAAAGGGCCAAGGTTTCCCACCCCTGACCTAGCTGAAATATCTTTCCTCTGACAGCTGTGAGAATCTATGTGCTGAGAGTTTATGGTATTCCCAACAAGGTTCAGATTATGCTTTGACCACATTTGACTTGATTTATTTTTTAAAAATTCTCAGCTTCATTTTTTTAACCCTATAACCCAGTCTCTTCTTAAAAACTTCCAGTGTTGGAGCATTCATAACTTCTGGAGGCAGGTTGTTCCACTGGTTAATTGTTCTAACTGTCAGGAAGTTTCTCCTTAGTTCTAGGTTGCTTCTCTCCTTGATTAGTTTCCACCCATTGCTTCTTGTCCTGCCTTCAGGTGCCTTGGAAAATAGCTTGACTCCCTCTTCTTTGGGGCAGCCCCTGAGATACTGGAACACGGCTATCCTGTCCCCCCTCGTCCTTCTCTTCATTAAACAAGACATACCCAATTCCAGCAGCCTTTCCTTATATGTTTTAGCCTCCAGTCCCCTAATCATCTTTGTTGCTCTTCTCTGTACTCTTTCTAGAGTCTCAACATCTTTTTTACATCCTGGTGACCAAAACTGGATGCAGTATTCCAAGTGTGGCCTTACCAAGGCCTTGTAAAGTGGTATTAACACTTCATGTGATCTTGATTCTATCCCTCTGTTAATGCAGCCTAGCACTATCTTTGTGTTTTGTTCTTTTTCTTTTATTATTTTAAAAAAAATGTTTTAAAAAGTGGTGGGAGAGAGCTGCTTCTAAGCAGGCACTGATTTCTCTATTTCTTCCCGGCAAACTAGGGCTGCAACTGGGTTTCTCTGAGACATGCAACTACCTGCTTGCAAAACCCTTGCCTGGAAATTATTGTTTTCAACAGAGCTGAAAACAGCCTGACAGGTGAGGCTCAGCTTACCTGCCGGGGTCTCCTCTGCAAAAGGACAAGATGCCCATTTGCTTAATCCATAAATCACGGCTCTAAAGCTTCAATATCAAGAGAGATGCACAAGGTAAGAGGCTCACAAGCCCTTCCCACCACGGTCTACCTCTTTTTTTTTCCCCTCTGAAATCAGCAATTATGCCATTATCCCTGCTACTGAAAATTAATCTTGGGACAGAGCCAGTTATGATGTTGGAATTGGGTGGCCTAGAAATTTGGAATGTAAATCAACAAATAAATAAATCTTTCATTGCATGGGTACAAGCCAAGTTCACATCCAGCATCATGCCCTAACAAGGATCCTTCCTTCTTTCCATCTTCTCCTCTTTCCTTCCTTCTTTCCTCTTTTGCAATGTTTCCCCAACTGGGATGTATTGTCCGGATTCCAGGGATGTCCATAGGATTATAATAATAATATAATAATATATTAATAATAAAGTTGGAAGGGACCTTGGAGGTCATTGAGTCCGACCCCCTGCTCAGGCAGGAAACCCTACACCATTTCGGACAAGTGGCTGTCCAGTCTCTTCTTAAAAACTTCCAGTGTTGGAGCATTCACTGCTTCTGGAGGCAGGTTGTTCCACTGGGTAATTGTTCTAATTGTCAGGAAGTTTCTCCTTAGTTCTAGGTTGCTTCTCTCCTTGATCAGTTTCCATCCGTTGCTTCTTGTCCTGCTTTCAGGTGCTTTGGAGAATAGCTTGACTCCCTCTTTTTTGGGGCAGCCCGAGATATTGGAATGCTGCTATCATGTCCCCTCTCGTCCTTCTCTTCATTAAACTAGACATACCCAATTCCAGCAACTGTTCCTTATATGTTTTAGCCTCCAGTCCCCTAATCATCTTTGTTGCTCTTCTCAGTACTTTTTCTAGAGTCTCAGCATCTTTTTTACATCATGGTGACCAAAACTGGATGTAGTATTCCAAGTGTGGCCTTACCAAGGCATTGTAAAGTGGTATTAACACTTCACGTGATCTTGATTCTATCCCTCTGTTAATGCAGCCTAGCACTGTGTTGGCCTTTTTGGCAGCTGCAGCACACGGCTGGCTCCTATTTAAGTGATTGTCCACTAGGACTCCGAGGTCCCTCTCACAGTTACTACTATTGAGCAAAGTACCCCCTATACTATACCTGTACATTGTGTTTTACTTGCCTAAATGTAGAACCTTACTTTTTTCACCATTGACTTTCATTTTGTTAAATAGCGCCCAGTGTTCAAGTCTGTCCAGATCCTCCTGTATCCTAAGCCTGTCTTCTGGAGTGTTGGCTATTCCTGCCAGCTTGGTGTCATCTGCAAATTTGATGAGTTCCCCATCTATCCCCTCGTCCAAATCGTTGATGAAGATGTTGAAGAGCACTGGGCCTAGATCAGAGCCCTGGGGTACCCCAATACACACTTCCCTCCATGTAGATGCGGTTCCATTGAGGACCATATGCTGAGTACGGCCGGTCAGCCAGCTACGGATCCATCTGGTGGTGATGCTGTCTACCCCACATTTTTCTATCTTATTGAGTAGGAGGTTGTGATCTACTTTGTCAAATGCCTTACTGAAGTCCAAGTAAATTATATTGGGTCAGAAAAGTCAAGATGGTGGTCACGATGCTAGAGACGCAGCTCTGCCCATATTCAGGTGCGTCATAAGAGAGCTTTCACTGCACCTTTGTGGCCACTACAGGTAAGTCCTCGAATTACGACCACAACTGAGCTCAGAATTTATGTTGCTAAGTGAGAAATTTGTTAAGTGAGTTTTGCTCCATTTTACGACCTTTCTCGCCACACTTCTTAATTCAATCACTGCAGTTGTTAATTTAGTGACATGGTTAAGCGAACCTGGCTTCCCCCTTGACTTTGCTTGTCAGAAGGTTGCAAAAGGGCCGCTGATTCCGGGCCGCTGTGACCATCATAAATATTTATTTATTTATTTATTTATTTATTTATTTTAATTTATATCCCGCCCTTCTCCCGGACGGGACTCAGGGCGGCTCACAACATATATTTAAAACAAAGGTGTATATACAATCCCCCCCTATAAAACCGAATTAAACCAAATTTTAGAGTTGTGTTGTTTACAAATTCCTTAAAATGAACCCAATATAAAATCCTCCC